TTCCTTGGTTGTGGCACTGGCATGAGAGGTTGGACTGTAAGCGTCTTTGAAGTGGCATATTTTCTCCCTACTTGTACTCTTCAAGGAGCTGTCCATGGAGTGCTGATAGTGTTGATGATGAAGATGAGGCTTGCCAGGTCTCAGAAAATGAGCTGCTGTGCCAGGAAATGGCTGGGCTCCCCTGAATCTCCAGGCCAGGCAAACAAATGTGAGGAGCAGTGGTGGAAGGGAAGGATCGAGTCTCGTTTATTGTTACAGGGTGGTCATAGTGTTTGGGTACCCAGCTCCAAGCCTCTCCGAATGTCACCAGGACTCACTGGATTCTTGTGTCTGTCGAGCACGACACATAATATACTTGCTTAGGAACTCAGACAATGCTGAACCCACAATGCCTAGCTCACTCCGTCACACGTGCATGGAGAAATATGTTCCCAATTCCTGTGACTTCACAAAGATCCACCCCAGGCATTGGGCCCCAGATATAATGAGGGCCTCTCCGAATGTCACCAGGACTCACTGGATTCTTGTGTCTGTCGAGCACGACACATAATATACTTGCTTAGGAACTCAGACAATGCTGAACCCACAATGCCTAGCTCACTCCGTCACACGTGCATGGAGAAATATGTTCCCAATTCCTGTGACTTCACAAAGATCCACCCCAGGCATTGGGCCCCAGATATAATGAGGGGACTGGGAAGATAATCTCATGACAGCCCCTGACAAACAAGACAACACTTCAAAACCATTCTGGAAAAAATCTTTTATTGGTTTTGGAAAAGAGGCTAAATGGGTATCATCAGCAAAGGCAATGGCCTGTTTCAGCTCCAGCAGGACGCCTGCCTTCTGGTCCCTCGCATCCCCCTGGGGAAGAGGAAGCTTCAGACCCTGCAAGAGAAAGAGAGAGACAAAAACAACTAAGGGATGAGCTTGTCCGCTGCCGTCAACCAGCTTCAACCCAGGCGTATCCACCAACCAATGTTCTGGCAACTTCATCCCAAAGTTCTACCTGCCACCATCCACTGGCTTCCACCAGGAATATCCACCCGTTCATCTCTTCCACTCCACTTCTGAAGCCAGACCCGCCAGCTCCCAAATGCTTGGGTCACACAGACACCCCAGCTACATTCCCAAGGAACGCCAGCCAGCCCATTGACACACACCAGCCACACACCTCCGACGCACACACATACCTTCACTCCAGCAGCCATTCACACACACACATGGGCTTCCATCCACCGATGTCCACCAAGCTTCTGCCAGCTGGTTTCAGGAGGCTAATGTCCCCCGGCTTCATCTGCCAACCTCTGCCGGCCTCCGTCTTGTGGCCTCAGCCAGCTTCCGCAGGGAGATTCCACCAGCTTCTGCCTGCCAACGTCCACAGACTCCCCCCCCCAGTCCATCGCCAACACCAGCCAGCTTCAAACCACAGATCTCTGCCAGTCTCGAGCTGTTAACTCGCAAGCCCATTTAGCAAGTTCATCTGCTTTCCTGCGAGATCTTGCCTTGGGCAGAAGGGCTGGGTCCCCTGCAG